CTGTTTACCCATCCTTTATATATCTAGCTCTCTTTGTACCCATCTATTTATATCTATATATATCTGTTTACCCATCTATCAATATATCTGTCTGTTTACCCATCTATCTATATATCTAGCTCTCTGTGTACCCATCTATCTATATATCTGTCTGTTTATCCATTTATCTATATATCTATCTGTTTACCCATCCTATATATATCTAGCTCTCTGTGTACCCATCTATTTATATCTATATATATCTGTTTACCCATCTATCTATATATCTGTCTGTTTATCCATCTATCTATATATCTAGCTCTCTGTGTACCCATCTATTTATATCTATATATATCTGTTTACCCATCTATCTATATATCTGTCTGTTTATCCATCTATCTATATATCTAGCTCTCTGTGTACCCATCTATTTATATCTATATATATCTGTTTACCCATCTTTCTAACTATCTGTCTGTTTACCCTTCTATCCATTGACCCATGCTAAGTAATCTATTTGTATTAGTAGCGTGAGGTTGGGTTGAGTAAGGATTAGGATTACAATTAGACCCTGAGCGGGTTCACAGATCTTCCATGCATACCCAGAGCAGGATCAGAGATATTCCAACCTTATCCCTTTACTCAAGGTGTAAACGTGGTTTGTGAATGCGAAGTTTAAAAATAATCCTGACATTAGGATTATAGTTCTATAGTTCTTTGATCTTTATGTATCACTAACAGAAGTACCCGGCGTTGCCCGTGGAACTTTTAAAATCGTCTAATACCCTGCAGATAACGGCCTTCTATGACTTCACGGTTAATATAACGGGTAGGCCACCTAGCCGCCCATGGGAGGAGGAGGGTGGGGGGTGCAAACGGAAAATATTTTGTTTGCAAGAACAGAAAGCGTAATTTCAGGTGACTCGCGACGCAAACCTGAGACTGATTATCGAGGGCAAAGAACTCCGTGTGTTTATCTCTAAAATGGTGTTCAAATTGTCATAAAACTGGAGTGCGTGACAGCATATAGTGTTAACTGAACACAGCTGATGAGAAGTTACACATACCCCTCGAAAATCCCGAATATTCTATTTCAAAAGCAGTTAAAAAATTTTAATGAAAGGAAATAAATAGCGAAACGTTCGTTATCCTGGATCAGTAAAGGATTTTAAGGTTTAAAGGGTACTGCTGTAAATCGGACACGGAGCTTTGTAAATGGAGGGCGCCTTGATGCTTTGCTTTCTTTATACCGGTTCAAACACCATTTAGTGGGGAAAATGATTTTTTCAATATTTCAGATTTTCAAATGGAAACTAATTTTATCGTGTTTTGAAGAAAGGTTTTGTGTCTGTGTTGTTAAATGTGTTTGTATGTGCATGGTATGTGTGGAGGTATGTGACTAGTGCACATAAATATATGTTGAAAGATTGTAGTTTAGCCCCCCCCCCCCTCCTTACTCTTCAACCAACCTGGAGTATTTAATCCTAGCAGATCTAGATCCTACCTAGAGATATCATAATTTAAACAAACCTCAACCCGTCATCATATTTCACTCTTTAATCCATCCTTCTCTTCTGTCCATCCTTCCCTTTAATCCATCTTTCTCTTCTATCCATCCTTTTCTTCTATCGATCCTTCCCTTTTATCTATCCTTCTCTTCTATCCATCCTTCCCTTTTATCCATCCTTCTCTTCTATCCATCCTTCTCTTCTATCCATCCTTCCCTTTTATCTATCCTTCTCTTCTATCCATCCTTCTCTTCCATCTATCCTTCTCTTCTATCCATCCTTTTCTTCTATCCATCTTTCTCTTCCATCTATCCTTCTCTTCAATCCATCCTTCTCTTCCATCTATCCTTCTCTTCAATCCATCCTTCTCTTCTATCCAGGTTAAAATATCAATTGTTTACATCAACAGGTTGCAAAGATATAGGGATTAGTACATTTTATTGTGTGACAAAAACTCCATTTCTTTTATTGATAACAATATTTCATTATAATACACTTTTTCAAATGTCATTTAATGGTTTTAAAAGCTGATCACATAGGAAGAAAATTTCATGAACAATTAATTTAGCTATTTCTGCTCAAAATCAAATATATTTATTTTTCTCTATATATATACATAGATAAATATGTTCTTCATGTTTAAAGTTTGAACCACATATAGCTTTATATAGATAGTTAATTTAGCTATTTCTGCTCAAAATCAAATATATTTATTTTTCTCTATATATATAAGGATATGTTCTTCATGTTTAAAGTTTGAATCACATATATCTTTATGGATATATGTATATGTGGTCATAAATTCACTAATTATGTAATTACATCTACACAAATAGTTTCAAACTCCGAACTATTTCCATAATTTCTGGTCGTAAAAGATTTAATCTTCAAGATTATATTTATTCAAATGTAAATAGTTTGTTTTACTCTTGGTTGTATATTTGCATGTTGGGTGCTGGGATTTTGCATAATATTCATTTTTATTCATTTTTATAATGAATATTTTACGTTTTTCTCTTTGTTTTTATCTAAACTATGAAGACTAAAGATGTGGGGGGGGGGGGGTAAAGATGTTTCCTCCGACTAAAGATGGTTGTAATGTGTAAAAAGATTTGTATAATTGTATACGCAATGCTATAAAAAATATAAGGATGAGATCAAATATCATAAAGATCAATTAAAGGAGGATGAGAGGATAAGGAATGAAAGGATAAAGGATGAAAAGATAAAGGATGAAAGGATAAAGAATGAAAGGATAAAGGATGAAAGGATAAAGGATGAAAGGAAAAAGGGAGCAAAAGAAAATGAATGAAAGGATAAGTAATGAAAGGATAAAGAATGAAAGGGTAAAGGATGAAAGGAAAAAGGGAGAAAAAGAAAATGAATGAAAGGATAAGAGAGGAAAGGATACGTATAAAATAATCAAGTATGTAAGGAAAAGGGAGGAATCGAAAGGATAAGATATAAAAGGATAAGGGATAAAAAGATAACGGATAAAAGTTGATAAGGGAAAAAAGGATAAAGGATAAAAGGATAAGGGATAAAAGGATAAGGGATAAAAGGATAAGGGATAAAAGGATAAGTGATAAAAGGATAAGGGATAAAAGGAAAATAGTAAAAAGGATAAGTGATAAAAGGATAAGGGATAAAAGGAAAAGAGTTAAAAGGATAATGGATAAAAGGATAATGGATAAAAGGATAAAGGATAAAAGATTAAGGGATAAAAGGATAAAGGATAAAAAGATAAGGGATAAAAGGATAAGTAATAAAAGGATAAGGGAAAAAAGGTTTAGGGATAAAGGAAGAGATAAAATGATAAGAGATAAAAGGATAAGAAATAAAAGAATAAGGGATAAAAGGATAAGGGAAAAAATTATAAAGGATGAAAAGATCAAGGATGAAAGGAAATGGGATGAAAGGATAAGTATTGAAATGAAAAGGGATGAATTATGAACTAAAGAATACGATATGAAAGGACGAATGAAAGGATTAAGGAAAGAATAAATTAATTTTGATAATAAGAAAAAATGAATGAAAGGAGAGAAGGAATGAAAAAGAAAAATAAAGAAAATTTAATTTTAATATTTGAATCTTTATTGAATTATAGTGAATGAAAAAGTTGATGAAAAAATTATAGATAATAGATAGATAAATAATAGCTTGCTAGATGTCATAACCATACTTTACGTTGATTAAAATTTAGAAGTAAATATTTTAAAAAAATATGTTCATGTTGACTACATCAGATTATGCATGGATAAAATATAAGATGGCGTAAAAGTGTAAATTGTAGGTTGTATTGGTCATGGTCAATGGCATGGTCAATGTTCACTAATTTTTTTAGTGTGTTTGTTTGTTTGTATTAATAATCATCAAAACGGCTTAAATGACATGAGGGCATGACCGAAAGATTGTTTTTTTGCCGGTTAGGATTAATAAAATTCAAAATAAATTTCAAATAAATTTTAAAAATGTGCAAATGAAAACGAAAACTATTATTATTGTTATTGTTTAGGGCAAAATTTGCAGAGAAAATGCCCGCAGAAAAATTCTAAAATTATTTTATTAGCCAGGTATCAACATAAAATAGGCAAGTTATGAATTTCATTCAAAATCTTCTTTTTTGGTTTAATTATATAAAACTGTTTAAATCAAGGAATGAGTAAGGATGAGTATAAGTTGAATGAGAAGAAATGTGCAAGGATGAGTATAAGTTGGATGATAAGGAATGATGATGAATCAAGGAATGTGTAAGCATGAGTATAAGTTGGATGAGAAGGAATGTGCAAGGATGATTATAAGTTGGATGAGAAGGAATGTGCAAGGATGAGTATAAGTTGGATGAGAAGGACTGTGTAAGGATGAGTATAAGATGTATAAGAAGGAATGATGATGGATCAAGGAATGTGTAAGGATGAGTATAAGTTGGATGAGAAGGAATGTGTAAGGATGAGTATAAGATGTATGAGAAGGAATTATGATGAATCAAGGAATGTGTAAGCATGAGTATAAGTAGGATGAGAAGGAATGTGCAAGGATGAGTATAAGTTGTATGAAAAGGAATGTGTAAGGATGAGTATAAGATGTATAAGAAGGAATGATGATGGATCAAGGAATGTGTAAGGATGAGTATAAGCTGGATGAGAAGGAATGTGTAAGGATTAGTATAAGATGTATGAGAAGGAATGATGATGAATCAAGGAATGTGTAAGCATGAGTTTAAGTTGGATGAAACGGAATGATGATGAATATATTTGAAAAATTCTTGTCTAATAGAGACATAATACATTGCCCTAAAGATATTCTTCAAACTCACTCGAATCAGTGCTAAACATTATCTACAATAATAAATAAACAAAAAGTTTTAAAACAAATTAACAGGACAACCAGGACAACTAGGAGAACCAGGGAGACCAGGAGAACCAGGGGAACCAGGAGAACCAAGAGAACCAAGAGAACTATAAGAAACAGGAAAACCAGGAGAAACAAAATAATCAGGAAAACGAGGAGAACATGGAGAATGATGGGAACCAGAAAAACTGGATGAACAAGAAGAACAAGAAGAACTGGATGAACAAGAAGTGCTGGATAAACGAGAAGAACTGGATAAATATGAAGAACTGGATGAACAAGAAGAACTGGAAGAACATGAAGAACTGGATGAACAATAAGAACTGGAGAAACGAGAAAAACTGGATAAACGAGAAGAACTGGATGAACAAGTAGTGCTGAATAAACGAGAAGAAATGGATAAACAAAACAGAAGGTAGAAGAAGACGAACTGGATGAACAAGAAGAACTGGATGAATAAGACGAACTGGATGAATATAAAGAACTGGATAAACAAAACAGAAGGTTGAAGAAGACGAACTGGATGAACAAGAAGAACTGGATGAACAAGAAAAACTGGATGAACAAGAAAAAACTGAATAAACGAGAAGAACTGGAGGAACAAGAAGAACTGAATGAAAAAAAGAACAAGAAGAACTGGATGAACAAAACAGAAGGTTGAAGAAGAAGAACTGGATTAACAAGAATAACTGGATGAATAAGACGAACTGGATGAACAAGAAGAACTGGATGAACATGAAGAACTGGATGAACAAGAAGAAATGGATGAAAATGAAGAATTGAATGAACAAGAAGAAATGGATGAACAAAAAGAACTGGATGAACAAGAAGTGCTGGATAAACTAGAAGAACTGGATGAACAAGAAGAACTGGATGAACAAAAAGAAATGATGAACAAGAATTGCTGAATAAACGAAAAAAACTAGATGAACAAGAAGTGCTGGATAAACGAGAAGAACTGGATGAACAAAAAGTGCTGGATAAACGAGAAGAACTGGATGAACAAGAAGAATTGGATGAAAAAGAAGAACTGGATGAACAAGATGAACTGGATGAACAAGAAGAACTGGATGAAAAAGAAGAGCTAGATAAACAAGGAGAACTGGATGAACAAAACATGAGGAGGATGAAGAAGAAGAACTGGATGAACAAAAAGAACTGGATTAACAGGAAACTCTGGCTGAACAGGAAAGCTTGAAAAACCAGGGGGGGGGGTTAATATTGAATAAAGGGATGAAGAGAGGGGAGGAAGTATATGTTTCGGTATGTGAAGATATACATAACATATTTCAACCCCTCAACATTTAAATATATTTAACGTATCGAATTTTACATCTCCTCCCCACGTTTTGAATCAGAACATTAGACCCCCCCCCCCCTCCTACCCCTACTCCCTCTCCTAAACCAATCTCAGAAAAAGGAAAGGCTGACCATTTCTATCCCGATGCATATCCAGGTAGGATGAGAGATAGGGGAGAGCGTACCGAATTGATCCCTCTGTATTTACATGAGTACGCCCCGGGTAATAAACCAGGTACCTAGAGAACTCAAGAACCGGAGATATCTTAATCTCAATTTGAACCACACACACAGAATACACATGCAATAATTTTACAATTTTGGATCAAACTTTGATATTTATAATGCAATAATGATGATGGAGTCTCATTTAATGGGTTTAAAGGGACGCTGTGCAAAAAAGGCCGGAAGCGATAGGTTTACTGGGCCAGGATGGAAGGGGAGGTAGGAGGGGCAAGGAGGAGTAAAGAGAAGGGGGGAGTATAAGGGAAAAGGGAGCGCGGAGGGTAACGGAAAATGAAAAATAATGCAACTATAATTATCTTCTATGAACTGACTAAATCTGATTTATTAACAGATTTGCCCAGAAGCGACCGTTCTACGCTAAAATTCATTCATTCAAAATATGAAATTTTAAAACTCAAGATAAACAAGGTTTTGTTGTTTTTAATACCATCTAATTATATCTGTTAGTCTGCTTTTAAAACTGTTGCTAGTCCTTTTTTAACAGTGCTTAACGGTGTTGCATTAAAACACATGACAAGGGTAAAAAATTAGAAATTGAAGGATGAAAAAAAGGGAATGGCATTATTTTTCAATACAAGGCGTCTAAATGTCGCTGTTCAAGCCCTCATTTTTTCGCAATTTGAGAACTTAAAATTTTGCGGATTTTCTGTTAACATTGAAAGATTTCTAAAACTTTATGAACTATTTTTCAGGCACAATTTTTCTATTTCGACCGTACATTTACCTCCCTGGAGTTTTATGCCTTGCTACCAAAAAGTTTGGCACGATCGATTTGGCTGTTTTGACTTTTATTGGATATATACAAACAGGCAGACAGACATTCAATAATTATTTACAACTACTTTACACACGCACCTCTGCCCCTTTAGTAAAAGTAAATTCAACCTATTTGAAGCATAACGTCGGACCGTGTCAACCTTGTTGCACCGGCTAGTCCTGTCCATAAAGCCAGGTACAGTACAATCTAGGACCGGAAAGGTTGACCCGGCTCGGAAATTCAACTGTACTACGGCTGCCGTGTACAGGGAAGTTAAGGGAATTTTACTTTATCAAGGTTTCCTAAGGCCGATTTTGCCTTAAAAAAACATTCAGAGCGTAACGAAGGTTAAGTAACATTTTTAACTTCCCGAAAAAGTTATTGTACACAATTTTAACGTCTTTTGAGATGAAAATGTGCGAATTTTTTACATAAATAAACCAAGGGATGTTAAGTAACTTAACCTCCCTCTGTTGGAGGACGGAGGAATCATAGGTCGGTAATGTTGGTAAAAAGGCAGTAAAACATATTTAAAAATAACAACTCAAAAGGGGGGGGGAAACATTTTATGAAGCTGCATCATTGCTTAAATGCATCAACTTCTTCAAATGGACACGTCTAATAATAAATTTAATAATAGCATAATTTGACAAAATATATGTTTTTTTAAACTTTTGATCTCAAAATAAAAGTGTGCAAAGTTAATTCCTGTAATTTTTAAATCTTTTTGTCAAATAATTTTCTAATGGAAGATTGTGGTAAAAATAGAAAAATTAAATTAAAAAGATATTTAGAAGATGAAGCAAAGTTGAAAAGGTAAGCACAGTAAATCTGATGTTATTTTGTCTGATGCAGCTGTGATGTATGGTTGTCTGATAAACAAGGAAATCTTGATGGCGACTGATCTAAACCCTCTTCAATAATATGAATCCACCCATTATCCTCCCAATCCTTCCATACACACATTTTAAGTTTCATCATCAGAAATGTTTATATTGTTGTATATCCCTAAAAGGAGAAGTGAGTAAGTAGTATTTACGTGAATTTTTATGTTTTAAGTAGCATAAAAGGGTTTAGCATTCCTAAAAAAGAAAGGAACGATCCTAAAAATAGTTTGTGTTCTTATGGATCAACTAAATATTTACGTGTACAACAGTGTACACCTTACAGTGTACAAGTCTTGATAGACATCTTATTCAACAGTCTAAGACACTTGTCTCTTCTAAGAGTGTCTAAGTGTGTTATTAATGTTGGTGAATGAAATTATTAAGTTGTCAACAAACTTGTATTGCGGAAACAAATACTTCAAATAAACGCTGAACTTCAAGATATTAGTAAGTTGAAGTATATAATACATATTGTGTACAATAATTTTCAATGTACTGTGATACCCATAAAACTGTGGAAGACAACCGGTTGAATCAGGTTATGAAACATAGTATTTGAACAGTGTACACAAATCCATTTCACTTGATAGTTTATTTTCAATCAACTGGTAAAACTGTTTTATACTCAATTTATGACTTTAAATAATCCAATATGAATGGGAAACGGCAATTGTGCAGTGTAAACAGACCCATTTCACTTAATTTGTGACTTAATATAGTGGCTAGTAAAACCGTTTGCTTTGTAACAACATCAAATACAATTAAGTATTGCTATAAAATCGTCTTCCTATTCCAGAGTTTTCTGTACAAAGATTGCTTAAACGTTTTATAGATACACAAATTATTCATGGATGTGGACCCAACACATCTTACTTTTTGTTTGGACGTTTTGAAACTTTTTAATAATTATAAACAATTTTTATTTGATAAGGTATTAGGAAACGAAATCATTGTAGCCGCAGTGTTTAAATCAATCTTTTTACTATAACAGAAAATAAAACTAAAGTTTAGGAATAGATTTTTCATTTTCTTCCTGAAATCTTTTTTTTGTCTAATCTTGATAAACCTTGAAACTTTGCTGCAAAGTTTTCTCCACAGTTTAAACTCATCTCTTGGTAAACTTTTTAAACCATATCCGTAACTTTCTCAAAAGAGGCTGTTCACTTAATTTCAAGTGACACTCAGTTTAAAAAAACAACGAATCGGAAACATTTGTTGCATAAAACGTGCCGGGTCGACTATACACGTGGTAGTCCAGATTGGACAGTACGACTGAATGCTTATACAGTTCCTTTTATTTATATTTTTAAATCTTTTTAGAATTCGGGGGGAAATATTCCCACAACCTCTACTAGGTTTTTAAATATTTTCTCCTGAAACACTTAATTTTATATGTTTTTGTTATATTTCATAAATAAATAATTTTTTTACTTACTTTTTACTTACCGGCTCGGATCATGCATTTTTATAGTGGGGTGCTGACTGACAATAAAAAAGATATAGTTGTTTTTCTGGCCTAAATAGATAAAATTCTTTTTTCTTCTTTTTTTATTCTGCATAATTCCGTAAGTCCCTTTATTAAGAACTGCAATTGAATATGACTTAATGAAAAGAATATTTCCAAATACAAATTCTATCCGCATATTCCTTTAAAGAGAACTGCAATTAAAAATGACTTAATGTAAAAGACCTTTAACAAAGTTGTTTAAGATATTAACGGTTAACGCACAATTAGATTGTATAAATAACAAGATTAGAATTTAGAGTGTGAGGCGTTTGTTTATTTATTTTGCAGATTTTTACATTAAAAAAAGACGAAAAACCACTTTTTTGTAGATTATGGAAAAGGATTGTTAATGTAAACTTTTAAAAATGAAAAAGGTCTGAAAAACTTTACGAAATTTATTCAAATATTTCTAACTTGTTTAATTTTAGTAAAACTGTATTTTCCTATGTTCAAAGTCAATGCACTAAGAAAAATTCTATACAAGAATAAAGATTAAAGGGAAAATTAAAGGAAAATTAATTTTTCAAATGATAGATAATATAATAATGGAAAATAATAATAATGATTAATAACATTAAAATGAAATTACTAAAAAACTACAAAATTGTAATCAATGCTTCCATCTAACATCCATGATATGTATTTAAAGGAATTGAGTCTTTGCCACAAACACTGATTTTCTAGTCCCTAACTTTGCAACCCAACATTGTAGATCTTAGATATATCAAACTATGAATTATATTAGGCCAAAAATAAAAGTTTGAAATATAGAAGGTTTACACCATCAGGTTGTAACTTGTAAAGGAATCGGGATAAGGTTAAACAAAATTTAAGTTTGTGGCAAAGACTCAATTCATTTATGTAACAATATGTATACACTTGCTTGGGAACCCAGCTTTGCATGGAAACTAAACTTTATCTGTAGAGCAATGCTCTAGGTTCTAACCACTTGAAATTCCAAAATTTATTTATTAGAACCTAGAGCATTGCTCTACATATCTTTACAAGTCAACCCACTCAACTTAGAATTTTTAAAACAAGCTAAGAACATTTCCGTAGAGTAGAGCCACCGAGCTCCCCAATCAAAGTTTGTGGCAAATCGGTCAAATGGTTTCTGAGTTATGATCGGACAGACAAACAGAGATCACTACTTTATAGATATATATATAGATGCAAGGTGATGTGTATAGCAGGAACTACAAATGTAGTGTTTTAAGCTAATCAGCAAAGAAGATCAACCTTAATTACATAATTAGGCATATTATGCATGATCATATATATATATAAATAGATAAATGGATATGGGTAGAGGGATGGAAAGATGGATATCCATTAAGATAGATTTAAAAAGGTGAATAGATAGGTAGACAGATCTATTATGGATATATGTATATCGTATATATATTAATAAATAGATAGAGGGATAGATAGATAGTTTGATATAGATAGGTAGATAGATAGATTCAATAAATTCAAGTTTACGTTGAAATGTTTGTCTAAAG